AAGTTTTGTTACCATCGCGTATTTCACGTGCTTATTATTCGTATCCCTAACAGAAGATCCGCTGTCCATCTGGGTGGTCTACGCTCGTGGATAGGGCGATAACCGGAGCTATATCCCTCTCAAAATAAGCTTTGATAGAACTTCTGCTAAATAGGGAAGCGAGTCGGGAGGAGTATCTAACATTGCGTGAAGTTCGTTTTCTGTGGGGGATGTATTTCAGATAGCGGAGGAGCTCTCGCGTCCCTTGAGCTCTTGGTTCCTGCCTACCGTACGTACATGTTTTACTTTACTAGGGGCATTTTGTGAAAGCCGGGTATACCGACAAAGTGCTAGTGCACCTGGGGTGTGGCCTGATGCTCAGCGGATAGTAACAAATGTAGGATACCAAGATTCTCACTAGCCAACCAACCAGCCGCTCTCTAATCTATATCACTCAAAGGAAGTGTTCACAAAATCGTAGGCGGAATCGCAAACAAAAAATAACCCCTCTCCTGATCCTAGGGATTCAAACAATAAAACATTTAGGTCTTGTCGGCACAGTGTTTACCCACTTCAAAGAATACCTCCCATCATCAACGACCTTCCACGATCGGAGCTCAAGGTCCCCGAGAAAAATTCATACCCCACCCTTCTCGCCAGACGCTAGAATCTCTAGCAATTTTGAATCATCCTTCAGTGTCTCCTCCCGTAGTTTCTGCAACTTTCTGTGCTTCTCAAGCTCCGGCCGGAGCTGAGACAACACCAACTCGAGATACAACCTCCCATCTGTAGATCCCTGATGCTTAGTTTCTCTGCTGAGTCCTTCTTTGACTATCCTACGGTTATCTTGACTGTTGATAATGACTTCAAGGACCGAGGTAAATTTCTGGGTGGTTTTTTGTGGTGAGCGAGTGGTGAATTCCACGTCTAAGGGCCCGGGTTAGGGAATAAGGTAGCTGGAGACATGGATAGAGGTGGTGGGGGGTGGAGTAGCATGGATTTTCGGGGATTCCCTGGCTTGGCGGGTGTTGGAGGAATTCATTGGTAAGGTAGTCTAGATTCGGGTAATTCGTGTTGCGATTGTGCTTGTCTCGGTTCTGTTGATGAAAAATTTAAAACGAACGTTAGGCTTGTACGGTACGAGTACGGTGGCGAATTCGACGACAGCCTCGACGTATGATTTGGCGCACCACTTTAGCGGTAGATACTGGGGGATGCCTTTTCAGCCTCTAACCTATCGCGTCGCGGTCTTGCGGGGCAGTGCGTATTTGTTTCTTCTGTAACTGGGTTAACCTTTGATCCGGGAGTCGGGGGAGAACTTCAAATAACTTAATCACGGGGGATCTAGGCGATGTGAAGGTATGATATAACGAATCTGCGAAACACAGAAAACCTCGATTTAATGATAGTCGAACAATGCATATGATAGGAGTGGAGGGAGAAAGAATTTTCCCTGCACAGTACACTCAATTACGAAATCTCGCTCCCATGCGATGCGCCTCGCCGCATTTGTGGCTTTGAGCGTCAGCGCTCGGACTAGCATGGCAATAATGCGATTGTTGTGTAGTACCGTATCTCGAATACATTTACTTTCTAGCATTCTTAGAGAAATTTGGGGAAGGACCTCTTACGATGGGACATAAGGGCAAGATTACGGAAATAAAAAAAGAGGAGAGATAGAATCCGTTTTGGCAAATGTAGCGACCCTCCAACAACTCTCATGCCAGGAGGGAATTGTTTGTGCTCGCTCACTTCATGAAATGAATTATCACTTCCCACCTACAAGAGAAGCGATAGTGTATCATAGGTATAATCACCTCTCAAAAGTATTGTCCCACTTTCTAAAACCCCGCTAAAAAGTGCATAAACATGGGTAATTAACTAGCCTATTTCTATATAATAGAGTGTTGTGGGGAGATACAGAAAATTTATATAAGTTACTTTTTATAAGGTTTATTCCATAACTTAATTAAAATAGTAAACATTTGATATTTGAATGATCTGCACCTGGATTTGTCTAGGCATGGTATGATGAAAAGCAAATCTCCACCAAAGTTAGCGAAATTTATATGGGGGCTTGGCATTCTGTATTAACAATTGGATAAAAATAAATACCAGCTTTGTGAAACAAATAGATAAGATAAATAAAAATCATAAAATGATTTTCCTTTTAAATAACTACTTTCAAACAATTTTGAATAATTTTAGATAATTTTCTTTCATTATTTTTTCAGCTAATGAATCTCCAGAATTTTGGGGCAAAACAGGGCATGGGACAATACTTTTGAGAGCTGAGTTTAGCTCTCATTCTTGAGGTAATTTGTTGCTTCCGGTGTAGCACATGAATACATGAAGTGGAAAATCGCCTAAGTACAGTATGATACTGCTCATACGATACATTGACTTGGTACTGGGGCCGGCTCTTCACCTCATTCTCCATCTCCAACTCTGGGGAGCAAAGACTTACTCTTGCCCGGAAAATTGCTCTGATGCTCTTTCTGGATACATTAAATGGAAGGAAACAGCGCGAGTGGCCCACATGGTAAGGGAGAATCTTGTTGCCTTGTCAATGATTGTAGGCACACTGGATTGAGATCGATTTTTTTTGATTTGACACACCGGGAGGGGAGCGGCTTTGGCGACGTGGAGGGTTCTGACACTGCCCCATGGTCTCTCTCATATCACTTCTCTAAATATCATAGGTACTATTTTATTTGCTGCTGTTATTTTGTGCGCTTCTTGGCTTATTTTTGTCAATGCCTTCGGGAATCGCTATTTTCTATGATGAGTTTTTTTTCCCCTAGGGTTCATCTCATCACCCCAGTTCGGAAAGTGCGTTCCAACTTTCAATCACCCCCCCCCCTTCATAGGAACATTATGATGGAGGTTCGCAACGCTCTCTGCGCGGATCTCTATTTATTTCTGGACTTTTGACTTTATGTATAATTAATACTCGCGCTTCTCCGCCCGGGTTTGGAGGAGAGGAAGGTACTGCACAAGCTCTTTTCCGCTGGGGGTAACGTATTTGACTGGGAGGTGGGCTAGGCAGAAGTGAATCAATGAAAACGCGCCAAAGAGTTTGAATCTGGAAATCTCAATTGACACACCCAACAGCAGGAAGGGGGAATTCGGGCGAGGGGGGATATTCTTGATAGCATAGTATGTTGGATATTCCCTTTTTTGTACTGTACCGAATTCGGAGTTTTGATTTTCACGGAAATTCAGCAGTGAGGATTCGGCAAAATTTATGTACAAAAATAACTTATATCCCCTCCCCATGACCCTCTTCTCGGTACACTACGCTACAGTTCACTAGTGGCGTGTAGCTGGTATGGGGGTCTGGCTCTTCGGAGGAATAGCACATATGCCACCAGAAGAATCCTACCAGCAATTTTATTTGCTAGTCGTTTAGCCTTTTCTTCATATTGCGCGCTAGGAATGAACCATACCCCTTCAGGGAAACGGAACGCCATCCTCCACGGCAAATGTAGTGTAGGGCCTTGAGAAGTACGGGCATCTAAACAGCGCTGTAGGTATGGTTTATCCGTACTCGGGGAGAGGGGAGGGAAGGAGAAGACAGGAGAGAGCAGGAGAGAGTGTCGCAGTTAGAGGAAGATTAGATATTTTAGGATAAAAACTACAAACTGTAAACTTGGCCATCTGACGGTGGGGGAACCGCGCCCCCCATTGACCAAACTTTACTCACCTTGGGCTGTGCTTTGTGGATTGAAACTCGTAGGTCCTCACTTGACTACAAAAGGAGGTCCCTGGAAGGCCCAGGCTAGTTTGCGACGTACATGTCTATTCTCATTTTATGGGGTATCCTTCGTCCAGGAAGGATGATGCCCATGGAGAACCCTGGATGGGCGACGCTCTCTGGAGAGAGAAACAGTTGCGATTTATAAGCGGCGGTAGCTCTTAGGCCTCAAATAGCGGGGGGGAACACCGCTTGGCGAGACTGTAGCAACGCTACCGCTACGTTATGGCCATATTCATCCCATCTATATGTTTATTACGATCAGCCAAGGTGTACAGCCCGGAGAAAACCTTTCGGTGTTGTCGTAACATTCCGTCTCTATTAAAACATTCTCAATCTCAGCAGCCCCGAAGAGTTATGCGAGGTGCGGGCTCCTGGGAGGAGGACAAGGATCCAAATACTCTACTGAAGCGATTTCGTGGATACGTTGCTATGCCGCATAAGGCATCGACATGTTTGGGATGCTCGCGGAGCGTCCGGGGTGATGGTGGATTGTTCGTTTGGGTTCTTGATTTTTCCATAGGGTTTCTTGATTTTTCCGGAGATGTTCCGTTCATGGATTTTGGCTCGTGGAGTTTCTTTTGGTCTTAACTTATTCTGTCCTTCATCCTTAGGCGCTTCCTAGAGATTTCTCCATCCCGCTCTACCCCTTTCCCCTCGTCCCGTGATGGCCGAAGACTCCACCGAAGAGCTGAATCTTGAGTCACGAAGACTGTGGTGTTGTGCTAGAGGGGGATGGGGGCTGAGATTATGAGCAGAAGATGTTTGGGGGAGTATATGATACAAGTGGGTCTAGTGTCAGGGGTTTACCAGAATTAACCCATTACCGTAGTGAAGGGTCTGGCGGGGACACCTCGGGGAACCAATCTTGGCCACCACCACGGTATCGTAGCAACTCCCGTGGTATCATATCCACCGGGGTGTTCATACAGGTATGATACGGCACTCATACAGGGGTCGCTATGGTATAATATCAAGATGCTCAGACTCTGTTGTACGCTATCGTGCTGAGAAGGTTTAGTTATCCCACACAGCGGGCAAGAACCCCCTGCAGCACGCAATGAGCCCAACTCGACAGCCGCGTAAGCGAGACACAAGACCAATCGGTTCTATCCCCGCTCGATACCCTGCATACCCCACCGTGCCTGCCAAGACACGCAAAACCGGTTACCCTGTAAAACTGACCAAACCAATAGGGGGTTCTAACCGATCCCTCTCGCTAGGTTCTGCTTCCATCTTCCCCGGCTTTCGTAGGATACTTGGGTGCCTGCCGCCTTACGCTTCATCACCACCCACGTACAATGGCGAATCCGCCCAACCAAGGACAACCTCGTCATTAACGCTATCCGAAACCACCCTAATCCCTTAACTCAGGGCCGCGAAGATTTAGCCCATTATTGATCGAGCTATACAAAGTACAAGCGTCATGTCCTTCCTGCTTCCCTGGAAGCTTCGGTGTCCGGATCGCGCGCCTCACGATGATTCCCTTCCGCCCTTCCCCGACCGCGTTTTAGACGAGAGTTCGGAACCACCGGTCTTTCAAGTTCCCCGCCGCCCGGTCGCAGCTGTGGTGAGGGAGCCCGCGCCCAGCTCCAAATGCCTTGGGGACACGGAGAAGGAATTGCCCGCGCCACCTGCGCGGTCGAAATTCTATGGGATTGTATTGCCGGGATGGATCGGCTTGCGAAAGGAACGGTATTTTGGACTCCCGCGGCGGACAGCAATATTGGTTGCTGTGGGATTACTACTGTTATTGGCATTGATACTTGGGCTGAGCATCGGGCTAACTACCGGGAGAAAAAAATCGTATACCCCTCCAATACCCCTTTGCACGATCAATTTATTAACCTTTTGTAGAAGCAAAGACACTACCACACCCCCAACCTCCGGCGCGCTCCAAACTGGCGATGGGACATTTTATGAGCCCGGTCTCGGTGCCTGCGGCATAGCCTCTACCTCCTCCGAGAGTATAGTGGCCATCTCTCACATAATCTTCGACGCGGCCCAGGTGGGCCCAAACCCGAACACCAACCCACTCTGTGGCCGCAAAATCTGGGTCACCCGCGAAGCCACTCCTGGGAAAAACGTTACTGTAGAGGTAGAGGTTGTCGATCGTTGCACTGGTTGCAAAGCTTCCGACTTGGATTTCTCATCGAGCGTCTTTGAAAAACTCGCCGACGAGTCGCTAGGAAGAGTTCTTGTTAGTTGGGCATGGATCGTTTGACTCTTTTTCGTTCCGACGCGGCGTTTGGTGCTTCTAGTAACATTGGGCATGCGATCCACTGGGTCAATAGGGGGGGGGGCTGTCGTTAGGTTTTCTTTGGTTTATCTTGTCCATTTTATCGCTGTGGCTTTGGTGAAGGTTGGCTCCGGACGGTCTCTATATATACTCTTTTGTTCATTTTTTCTCTTTATTGTCACTTCTATTGTTTGTCATACTACCTCTTCGGCAAGGGCATTGTTTATACGGCCTTTTCACTTTATGATATTTGGTCGACCGTGTATCTGGAGAGCGATTGGCCATAAGTGGTTGGCACCGCGATTCCTAAGTCTCCCATGATTCTAGAGAAAAGTATACTGCGTCTAGGAGGAGTATATTGCAACAATACCTGGCACAGTGCTCGGATGCTTGGGTATCGTCATCACATACGCTCGGAATATGAATACATCCTTGGTACGAGGGCGGTCTTGCAGTCTCTCCCCCCCTCCCCTTCGTTGCCCACTCGGTTCCCCGGCGAGAAAAGGGGGGATGGCGATTATCACACAGCGGAACGAGCCGGTCCGCTTGTGACCAATCAAGTCCGAGGACGCAACACACCCCGTCTCCGCTCCCGGGGGGGGGTTACCACTGCGGTGCTGTCTGACGAACGAAATGGTGGGCGAAGGGGCTAATGGTGCACATATGGGTTCCTGATTCGCATTATGATGCTAGATGCGAGGTCATTGTTCATTACCCGACGAGTCGTAGCTTTTTTTTTTGCCACGATACTCGCGACTAGCGGAGACTCTTTAAGGCCACAACTATGATACTATTTTAATTTTAATTTTTTTTTAGCTTCTTCTAGATGGCCTTGAGGTCAATAAAACAAGTTACCTGGTGAAGAAATATGGCCTTGTGGGAAGCTTTATTTGAATTTTCCAAACTTAGATATTTGTCTGGTACTGTTCTTTGTTGGGTCCAGGGGTGCGGGCTAACGAATGGAAGGAAGAAATACGGTATGTTAGATGAGTAATCAGACTTATGAGATCTCACTTTGGTAAGTGGTGTCATGCAATAGATGGTTAGAGTATCGTACTTTAGAACGATCGCCACGCTTAAAAGTCCTTGGGAAAAAGGAAGAAAAGTCCTTTTCGGGGCTATTTCTCGCCGCGCTGCCGGGGCTCATCGCATCTGTATGGTGACTGGGCGATTAAGAATATACTAAGTCGCCGGGCAAATGGTATGCGAATGCGGGCGGTTGAAGGGAAGTAAAAATTAAAATGCGAAGATATCTTGGACTGACGGAGGGGTTGAGGGGGCGGATACGCTGGGGAAATAGATGACCGTTCACGCGCTGTACCTCTTGCTTTGGTCCGATGTGGACGGACGGGCACGTATTTGGTGGTGCAGCACGAGATGGACAAAATGTGTTTGTTGGTTAGACAAGGTAAGGCAATATTTGGAAGTCCTAGCGCTAGGGCGACAGGCGATTGTGGAGGACTGGGGATTTTCGCTCGAGACAGTTGGAGTCTTGCTAACTTGATAAACTTGGACACGCCATACCGGGGGTTACCGTCTCCAACCTTGTGACTCGGGCGGGGAAACCATCCACTCCGGGAGTGCTTTCGCGTTCTAAGCATATACCAGTACTAGTATGTACTATACACTGCAACAGACTTTGTAGGTTCCTGTGCCCATAGCGCCGCAAGAATTCCAGACAAGAGCTTGGAATAAATACCGTATACCGGTATATTATACTTCAGATATGCTAAATTTTTTATTTTTTATTAGGGGCGTATTCAACCTATCTCTGAAGGTATGGCTGCTCCATAAATTAGCGATTTCTGTTTGTCCTGACACCTGTCTGGCTGTCCAGGAGTGGTTTCCGCGCGAAGCACTGATGGTTTTGCGGCAGAGTTCGACGCATGCTTAATCACCTCTGGGTATTCTACGAAATTCATGCTTCATTGGCTAGTAGTACATTGCGGTGAGTTATGGGAAGCAGCACAGCACAAGCATGAGGTTCTTTCCTCCGACGAGCGGTTAGAATCGTTCTGGAGAAATATTCGGGATTAAGGTTGTCAGCACCATTATAGGGGATTGAAGCGTTATGGAATATGGGTCTGGTCGCAAAATAAGGGGGGAAATCGGGTGCGTGGAGTAATGGAAGTTGCCGTATTAGGTCCAAACAAAGGAAGTCACCCATCACCGGGAACCATTTCCCCAAGCTCACAAACCTCCTGATCCCTTGTTTCTTGCACCATTATGGAGGTTCCGCATCAGTGAGCATTCCCAAGCACAATGGGGGGCCTTTTTATGGGGCACTGGTAACTTGAACTCGTCCTATCATTAGAGGAGGGGGGGGGGGGGGGCGCCCACTCTCCCGGATTCGTGTTGCTCCATGGATCAATCTTGGGCACTCTTAGGAGCTCTTAAATAAGACTGTTGCAGGAGTTATTTTTCCTTACCTTATTATCCGCCGAGTATCGATACGGATTTAGAACTAAACGAATTGCATGCTCCGAAATACGGAGGTTTCGCGAAGCCCGTCCTCTAATGAACGTTATTCTGAACAGAGGAGTCCGTCCGTCCCGAAAAATGGCAATTGTGGGTTATTTCATTGTCTCCTCTGGCCTTGCCTGATCTTTCCCCACCCCTTGGGGCAGAGGACCACAACCCTCCCACAGGAAATGTCTTACATTGGCGCTTTTGGGCTCGGTTACTCTGAATCAGACATTAGTGGTGGTGACGGAGAAGGAATCTTCTGATTTAGAAAAATTGCCGAACAGGTTGATTATTTAACAAGACAATTGAAGCTATCATGAAGGAAACCGAGCATTTACTCAGCTTCTGAAAACTGAGCTCCCAATAGATTATTTGTACCCGGAATATGCCCAGTAGGGGGATCAATAATGAAGCCCCAGCTTCCTGGGAGGCCAGTTTTGTCTCATAATTTTGGGGTGCCCGTGGGACCCAGAGAGATGGCTGCCGGGAGCTCCGTGGGAGAGGCGGCGGCAAGATGCGGATTATCCTTTGCTCAGGATACCCCAGGGCTGCTGTTGGCACGATGGCCTATACCGGTAATACTCGCCAAAATCAAAGGTCTGTCCTCGGCCATTACTCATGCACGAATAACCGCTCCCCCGCACCTTGCTCGCGGGGATTGCACTTCCCTCTCATAACCCCTCAACACCGCTAAGGACACAGGTTTATGGGAATATTGGATTTATGAGCAATAGCTATCAACGTGGTTCTCCTATTGTGATGGCCGCCGGAGGAGAGTAATTGCCTAAATGCCACTTGCGGCTTTACCTCAAGGAGAGACTTTTGATTTGGCGAGTACAATGTAAGGCCAATTAGTATAGGGGACCAGATAGGACGTCCGGAGGCAATGGAGGGGGGGGTTACGGGAGATGTGGGTGGTTGCACAGGATTGCTGGGGGCTGTTGGGTTGCCAATTTGGTATGCGGTTACCGGTAGGACTTGTGCGGGTATAGAGTATGCGGCTCTGTGGGGCACAGTGAGTAAGCACCTAGACGCTGCTAGCCGCTCTCACATTCCATTCCGGTCCACACAGGGGATGGGATTTTAGGTTTTTGGTAACTTACCCGTTGCTCTGGAGTGGGGCATGGGGTGTCTCCCCTGTTTCTTCCACACTCTACTCAATGCTGTTAGGTATGCGGTAGCCGGTTTGTTTGGTCCACTCTGAATGCCTATCGGGATCGACATTGGTCATAGTGCATTGGTTTTCGAGGTTTAGAATAGGGTGGTGGTTTTTTTTTTTGGAGAGCATGCTCCTCCAGGGGTTTCCGGCTTTCCTCTGGTTTCCGAAGTTGTTAGTTCTGCGGAGATGTTGGTCCTCTAGTCTCTCCTTAATTAGCCTCTCCCTCAATCATCTAGTTTACCATCCTTCTACGCCTGGCTGAGCTTAGAGGCTGCTGTCATTGAAATCTCACTGCTCTACCCTTTGTGCCGGTTTTGGGCTCGACAGTGGATGGCGGTCCCCGAGTGATGATAACTGAGCGCGGTCTGCTGTCGCGGGTGGCCCGGCAATGAGGTGCAAATCTTGTTGGCCCCGACCCCTCGCACTTCACACGGGACTCTAAGGAGTTGCTGGAATTGTATGCGGGGTGAGCAAGGGTAACAGGGTAAGTTTAAACGGGAGCTTAGTTGAAGTTTATGTTGATGACTAACGAAATATATTTAAAAATCTATGGTATAATATTATTATGATATTATACTAATTAACCTCTTAGCTTCGTTTATTTGCTACTACTCTTACCCCCTCTTTATGGTATTAAATTCTTGCTACTAGTAGTGTATGAGTCGAGTACTAATATTGGCCTCCTGGGAAACGTTATGGGATTAATTTATTCCTCCCCTTATTGGGGCTACGCATTCTGGGTACATATAACATGATTGGGACCTTAGTAATCAAAAATCAGGGTAAATCCCTTGGCTTCCTTTATCATACCCTCAATTGCCTCGCCGAACAGTCAACTTGTTTTGCGGTTGTGATCATAAATGATTCCCATACTAAGTTCTTTGTTCGCTTCTTTCTCTTATTTAGAATGTGGGGGGGGGGGTGGCCCTCTTACCTGAGTTGTGAGACAAGTTTAGAAAAGAACTTGAAGGAGCGTTCAATGCCTTCCAGCGTTGGCTTCAGGATGAGCGGGCCGCCCAATTGAGAATGCTATTCAATAGGAAGGGCTTTCCATGTCAGTCCTCTATTCAAATTAAAGTATCCTACAGAAACGGCAATGGTGCTATCCGTTCCTTCCAGGGTAAAGCGTGGAGTGGCTCAAATTTTCACACCGTTGTGGGTGTGTGATAGTTCATAATCCGAGCAGCTCAAACTGGCTTTGTTTACACTATGGTTTATATTGTACTCGAGTACGGTAGCATAAATTGGGGGGGTTTCGGCTTACGTAATATTTCCCTTCACCTGCAGTGCACATCTACGAGTGTGGCCGATAGATATATTCGTCATGTGAGTCTGATAAGAAAATTTCGGTGCACCTTTTGGCTGCGATGTGTCCTTAGATAAGGCACGTGACGAATATATTTATCGGCCGCACTTGTACACATATTCAGGTATGATATATGCGACTTCATACGTCCATCAATCCTTTTGGCAACCAAATCCATTCATTTATCCGTTCATGTACAGGTGGTGATGTGATGGGTATTATGGCAGTTGAATAGCCTCAGGCGGTAAGCGCCTAAGCCGTAGAAGAGTAGGATGCTCCCTGTACCCTCTGGGGTGGCGTTCACACTAAATCCAACTTCCGCAACGGTTCGG